ACAACAAAAAAAATTTAGACCCAAAGAGGTAACCAAAATTACAGAGGTAGAGGAAAAAACAACTTTGGTGGTCGACATTTCTTCATTTCTCAAGGACATGAGTTTACTCACACTAGCCAGATAAGTAATGTGGGTTGTGGGGTACCCCAGAAAAATCAAGAAAGTGGTAGTGCACTTTCTATGTGATACATGGATCAAGACTTCTAACAAGATTCCCAGATACAACAGGCAGCTCAAACACCTCAAAAAAATTATCAAATTTGTGGGAAACTTGGACATATTGCATTGAAGTGTTGGTATTGATTCAACCACACATATTAAACAGAAGATATTCTTCAGGTACTTGCTGCAATGATTATAGCTGATTTACCAGACTCAGAATTGTTATTGGATACAGGTGCCTTGACTCATACGACATGAGATCTACGTAAGTTGCAAAATTTTCGTTCCTATGGAGGAACAAATAGAGTTATGGTTGGGAATGGTGAACAATTAACTATTTTACATGTTGGTGATACAAAAATTGCTATTGGGCTTGGAAAATTCAATGTTTCTAATGTTATTTTGGTGCCTAAAATGAAAAAAAATTTGTTATCTGTTAGTCAATTTACAACATGTTTCCCATTTATTTTTTAGTTCTCATCAAATAGTTTTCTGATTAAGAAAAGGAGCACGACAAAAACTTTGCCAGCGGAAGTAGAAAGGGAGGACAATATGCACTTGAGGAACTGAAACAAACTTTATTTTCTAATAGGAATAAAAGAACATCAGAGGATGTGTGGCATTAACATCTCGGACATCCTCAAAATAAAGTTGTTCGTTACGTAAAATCTAAACAGTTGATTAATATTGATGTATGAAATAAATCTCATTCTGCCTGTGCTTGTTATCAGATGGGAAAAAGTTGTAAACTTCCTTTTAATGGTATTGATAAAACCTCTATTGAACCTCTCTTTAACATTCATCCAACCTTATGGGGCCTTGCTCCAATTTTATCTAATCAGAGTTATCGATTTTATGTGATATTTGTTGATGTTATATTCGTTTTACTTGGATTTATCTTTTGAAGCGAGTATCTGAATTTTTTGCTACATTTATGAAATTTCATCGTATGGTTGAAAGGAAGTTTGATAAAATAATTCAAGTTTTTCAATGTGACGGAGGTGGTGAATTTGCTAAGAAAGAATTTATTATTCATCTCAATGACAATGGAATCATGCGACAACTATCATATCCAGAAACTCTTGAGAAAAATGGAATAGTTGAAAGAAAACATAGAAATATTGTAGAATTGGACTTTACAATGATGTTTCATGCAAGAATTCCTAAACGTTTTTGAATTGAAGCCTTTCATACTGCAGTATTTGTAATTAATGGAATTCCCTCTACCAAAATGAAAATGGATTTCCCATACTCATTATTGTTTGGATGCGTACCAGACTACTCATCACTTCGAGTATTTGGTTGTCGGTGTTTTTCATATCTTCAAAACTATGCTACAAACAAATTTAGTCCACATATGCTTCCATGTGTATTCTTCGGCTATAGTATTCAGCATAAGGGCTACAAATGTCTACATCCACCCATAAGACGAGTCTATATCTCTAGACATGTTCTGCTTGATGAAAGTATATATTCTTATGCTAACCCAAACTCTTTGTTTGATAGTACTCATGTTTAAGGGGGAGTTGTCTACCTATGCAGAACGGTCAGAGTGTTATGGGGTCTGACATACTGACTCCTTCCTCTTCTAATTCATCACCTCCACATGAACCACCCATACAAGATGCCCTTGATGTATCGGGTCTCTCCGGTCCTTCTTTGCCTATCACCAATGATAGCTCTCCAACTTTTCTGGTAGAGAAAGATGTCACCACTAGAACACCAATCTAAGATGTACAGGATGAAGCAACACACAATCATGGTAATGAAAATGTTGTCATTCAAGAAACCAACCAATCTAATTTTTTACCAGCCTCTTAGCATCATCACGATCACATAGTCAAAAGATCTCAAGATGATACTTGAAGATCTCGGGTTCTGTCATACATGACAGCAATCTCAAGTGCTCATATTTTTGAAGCTATCCCTTTAGAACCTAAAATTATTAAGTTCACATTGGGTTATCTAGGTTGGCCTCATACAATGAAAGGGGAAATTGAAACCCTACATGTTAACTCAACTTGGAAGCTAGTTCCATGTCTTCCAGGTATGAATATTATTGGTTGTCGTTGGGTCTATAAGACTAAATTAAAGTTTAATGGTAGTCTAGAGAAACTTAAGGCTAGACTAATTGCCAAATGATTCAATCATGTTGCTAAAATTGATTTATCTGAAACCTTTAGTTTTGTTATTAAGCCTGCTGGTATTCAGATTGTTTTCACCATAGCTATTGTGCGCCACTAGCATATTAAACAGCTTGATGTGAAAAACTCTTTTTTGCATGACTTTCTTAAGAAACCTGTATTAATGAAACAACCTTTTGGAATTTGTGATCTTAAAATATCTAAATCATGTGTACAAATTAAAAAGAGCTTTGTGGTCTCAAGCAAGCACCACATGCATGATTTGATCGATAGTGTATATTTATTATCATTGGAGTGTTATTGCGGAATAGCTGACTCATCTCTATTTGTTTCTAGCACTACTCAAAGCACTATTATCATTCTCCTTTATATTGATGATATTAATGTTATTGGTGATAATTCAGATATTTTACAATGGTTCATTTCCCAACTTGGAAGGGAATTTTCTATGAAAGATTTGGACTTATTCACTACTTCCTTAACATAGATGTATCTTATTTTTAGGCGGAATTTTCTATCGCAGTGCAAATATGCTCGAGATCTTCTTGATCGCTCAGATGTTCGGTGCCAAACCAATGACAATGAAGAATAGTATTCATGAGAATTCTGATCCATTTCCTGATCCATCCTTTTATCGGAGTATTGTTGGTACACTTCAATACATTACCATAACACGACCTGACCATTCTCATAGTGTTAATACAGTGTGTCAGTTTATGCATGCCCCTACAATTGCACATTTTCAGGTAAGGAAGTGGGTTCTTTGTTATCTCTGTGGTACACAGTAATGCAGTACAATAATATTATCTAATAATTCTTTTGAGTTATATGCTTTCTCTTATGCAGACTGGGTTGGGTGTCCAAACACTCGTCGTTTAACGATTGGTTTATGTAGTTATCTTGGTTCTAACTGTATATCTTGGAGTGCTAAGAAACAATCGACTGTGGCTCATTCAAGTGTTGAAGCAGAGTACCGATCTATAACATCCACTACAGTATAATTGATATGGCTTTCTTTTATACTTCGGGATATTGTGGTGCCTCTTTATCAGCCACCAATACTTTTTTGTGATAATATTAGTGCTCTCTACATGACAGTTAATCTTGTTTTTTATACCCGGACACAGAACATTGAGTTAGACTATCATTTTGTACGTGAAAATGTTTGCTCTTGGATTGCTAATCACTCAATTCGTTTCCTCTCACAATCTAGCTGATATCTTCACCAAGCCTTTGCCACAAGGTGTTTTTCGAGATCTTTGCTTCAAAACTCGGGCTTCAAATGGCTCCTCAGCTGAGTATGAGGGGGAGTAATAAAACAAAATTCAAATAAAATAGGAAAGTGTATTGCTCTTTCCTTTGAGAGGTGAATGTAACAAAATATGAAGGTGTATATTGCATATAACAAGTGAGGGAAAACGTATATTACATCAATGTATTACTATTATATATACAATGAAAGAACCACCACAAGAAGTGTGGGACATAATTATTTTCTCAAAGAGTCCATCTCTCTCTAAAAATTTCTTTAATGATTCCCATCGTTCTTTAGACAATCCGGAGTTGGATCTGGATAATTAACAAAAATAAATTAGAATTAAAAATTGGAAAGCTTGGGTGATTCTGGCACGAAAGTCGCTAGCCTCCCAATCCAATCTGACTCGTATGATTCTCGAGTAGGGGCAGAATGGAACTCGCCAGAACCCGATGGGTAGACTTGATATGAGTCTAGGTCCAAAAATTGGACCCGAACATCGGACTTAAACACTATTTGGGTACGAGACCGGGTCCGGTTGGGTCTGGGTTTGGGACCGGGTCCCGCAATTATTTTTTGGGTCCCAATATATGAGATATATTTAAATAAAATTTAATACATAAATATTTTAATGTTTAAGTCAAAACCAATAAGTCCGAGCTGCATATCATTTTCGGGTCTGGGTCCGGCCCGTTGTCACCCCTATTCTCGAGCCTGACATGCCATAGTAGCAAGTAGCAACACCATTAGAAACCAGTCTCAAAATTTCTAGTTCATTTAATACTTTGCTAATTTATTTTTGGGTAATAGTTAGTTTGCTAAATTTGTTTCTTACACGTTGATTTTATGAGGTTGGCATCTAGACTTCTTCTCATAATAAGTAACCAAATTGAGTTTCACTGGAAACTGCATCTCATTTGTATAGGGGCAAAACTGAAATGATTCAAAAGTCTCAGGGAAATCTTCGTAAATTAGAAGCTTCACTGTGTAGAGTGTAGACGGTTGGTGTCTGCTCTGTTTGTCTCTCCCTCTCCCTCTCCCTCTCCCTCTCCCTCGGTTGTAACTATCTGTGTTTTGTTTATTAGTTGCAATGTGGC